GCACTGAGCCTTCTGGGGGCGATCTGACCCGGGACGACGCTTCTGAAGGCGATCCGGCAATTAACAATGCTTCGGGCGATGGAGGAGATGACTACCCTGCTGAGCCGTCTAAGGCTGTAGGTTCACCTCCTCTTCCTGAAATTCTTGTGAGCAGGGCGCTCAGCTTGTCGGAGAGGAACCTTGTCCACGGCTTCCCTAACATAAGGCGTCCCAAGATGGTAATGCCTGCGCGTTTTGACCGTCAGCAATACATGGACTGCACCCAAGTGATAATTGGCCGTCTCCTGGGCCAATAGGAGATTACTATGGATTTTGAGGAACGATGCTCCCAACAGGAGGATCGTATTGTTGATTTGGGGCGGCAGGTGAATAGCTTGACCGCTGACGTAGGGCGCCTTGGCAAAGAAGTTGCTGACAGGAAAGCTTCTTCAAAATCTCTGACGGCGCAGTTAAAATTGGCAGAGGACGCGGTGAAACTATTGACCGCCGATAAAAGCAACCTGAGTCTGTCAGTGGAGTATTTGAAGAAGGAAAAAGAGACTCTTTCAGCAGAGAGAGATCAATTATCTTCAAATTTATTTTCCGCGCACGGGAGCCTTCACGCCAGGGATGACGACTATAAGAAGGCTGCTGAGCAAGTGGGAAAGCTGGAAGAGGCTCTGGCCGATCTGATGTACGATTCTTTCAACAACGCCCTCAAACAGGTTGCCGTCAGGTATCCTGGTGCTGACTTAACTGGCCTGGATCCGTCTTATGATGTAGAGGATGGCCAGATTGTAGAGCGCCTTGAAGGTGATGGTGAAGGTGATTGAAACGTCACCAGAGACTGACGACGATGAAGGGGCTCGCGACGTGCTTCCTATGACTGACACGGACAGTGATCATACGCGAGATGGTGATAGGCGTGTTACGCCAGCCGATCCTGTTCGTGGCGGTGGTACTGATAACGTGACCGCTGGGCAGGTTGAGATTGTTCAGGCGTCAGTGGTGGTTTCGTCAGCAGTTGAAGAGGACTCGACCGTTCAGGCTCAGGACGTTTAAGATGTTCTGGCCACCATTCAGGCGCCAGTTTTTTTTTTTTTTGGCGCGATTGGTATGTCAACTGCGGCCTTTATGTTGTAAAAACTATCAATATCAACGAGTGGATTTTCTTTGCATTTGTCATTTTTCTCGCTTTATCTAAAGGACCACTTTGTTTTTCTTGTCTTTTCCTGCGAATTAAGCCTAATTTAAGGGCGTTGTCTGGGGGTGAGGACCATCCCAGTCCAACTGCGGCAAGGGTGAGACCATCTCGCTTGTTGGGCGTTGGATGGGGGGAGGACCATCCCAGTCCAACTGCGGCGAGGGTTGGCTGGGGGCGAGGACCATCCCAGTCCAACTGCGGCGAGGGTGAGAACCATCTCGCTTGTTGGGCGTTGGCTGGGGGCGAGGACCATCCCAGTCCAACTGCGGCGAGGGTTGGCTGGGGGCGAGGACCATCCCAGTCCAACTGCGGCGAGGGTGAGAACCATCTCGCTTGTTGGGCGTTGGCTGGGGGCGAGGACCATCCCAGTCCAACTGCAGCGAGGGTGAGAACCATCTCGCTTGTTGGGCGTTGGCTGGTGTGCCCCATGAGGGCTATTTATAAGGAAGATGATGCGGGTTGGTGAGGTGGGGGTCAACCCTTCTTGGGATGCACACCCATGATGGCAGTGTTAGGCGTGGTTGGCTCTGCCACAATGGCAGTGCTGCAACCACTGCACCCGGCGATGTCAGCACTGAACAAAGGGGCAGATTCCTTTGCAGTGCTTATGGCGACTGCCTTTAGCAGTTAATGTCCCGAAGTGGGACATTTTGGTGTATCTCTTGGACGTGCTGCAGTCTTGGAGATCGTGAGGGTCTACATCAGCCCTAAGGGCTGACGCGGAACAAGGCTGAGGGTTGGGCCTGAGCAGTTGGGCCACTCTAGTACTTGGGCCATCTGGAACAGAACACAAAGAAGAAAATGAACATGGAGAGAGGGAGAGAGAGACAGAGAGCGAAAGAGATAATGTTCTGATGAGGTAAATTATGATCGTTTGATGACAGGATAAATTCAACAAATTTTTAAATTTATGGGCACTTTGGTAATTTTGGATAAGATTCCCATCATTTTTTCCAATCAACCAAACATAGTTAGTAAAAATTAGCACAAGTTTTCCGGAAATTTTTTTGACCTACTAAACATTTTTTTGTAACTTACTCGGTAAAAAACTTCCAATCATTTTCCAGGTGAAAAATAGTTCCCAGTAAGCAAAAAATTTCTGCCGTACTGAATGCTCCCTGAATGTAACTTTCTTTTCCCTTCAAATTTAGTACTTCAAAAAGTCAAACAGACGTTTGCTTACCTTATCGTATTAAGGTAATTTGCACAATCTCTTTCATCAGGAATGTGATGTGACTCTGGTTAAAACTTTTATCTGTCGTATACACCGGCAATTATATTAAAACCTAGAGAAATACTATTTTAATTTTACATGAGATAGTTATTTTATTTTTTCTTATTTTGAAAATCACATCTTTTTCTTTCTTTTTCATTTTTGCTTTTTATTGATGGGCTCCACTTAAACTCTCTCTATAACATGAGAGAACTACTCTCATGTAATATAAGATTAATATTCCCCTAAAACCTATTGGGTGAATAATCCGTGTCTAACATTTTCTTTCTTTCTTTTATATTTTGTGATATTGTGTGTGATTATTCGGTCCCAATATTTCATAATTTTAATTTTAATTTTGTGAAACACTAGCTGCACAATTCTTTACCATAAAAACACCTGCTAGTTTGCATGCATAATAACAATACTCAAAAAACAAATGTAACTCAATATATCCGCGTATACCAGGTGGAAAAAACTTTAATAATGATTGCTTTTTTTTAACGTGACTTTAATGCACGTCCACATCTCTTACTAAACTTATACTGAAACCGCAGTATTGAATATTTGCGTGCCTACCCAGACTGGCCTAAAAAAAGAATGAGGAAAAACAAGACCCTTTCATACTTTGTCAGCTTCTCTAATTACAAACACCGTCCTGCATGGACCCCTTTAAAAAAAAACGAATCATACTTCTTTTACTTTTATCGATGGAAAAATAAATAAGATGATCATATGAGAAAGATTAAGAATTTTTCTTTTGAGTTACGTTTGCAAAGGAAAAAGAGGTAGCAAGTAGCAAGAGGAACTTATTTGGCAGATGTTGAGTTAGAACTAAGGACAAAATCCAAGTATGGAGTTGTCATTTTAATACAAAGGTCTAATATGCGTATTATTTTTCTTATATTATTTTTAAAAAAAATAAAAAATAAAAAATAAAAAATAACGTGTTATATTTTCATTAAAAAATAATATTATAAACACTTGAAAATGTTCATTGTCATTCTAATATATTTAATATAAATTTTAATTTTCTATAATTTAAAAAATCATTAGCTTGGTTAATGAAGAAAAACATTTTAAATAAAGAATAATCAAATAAGAATAACGTTAAAGACATAAAAGTAGTAATACAAGGTTTCCGGTTTTTTGATTTGGTTGGGAAGTTTTTTTAAAGCTTATATTATCAACATGAGTAACATAAGTATTAAATTAATTAATATTTTTATTAGTACCGCTTCCCTGCATAACTTCATATGAGACGTCACTCAAACAAGGGCATTTGATGAAATCAAAGAAAATTTAAAAAAAAAAAAGGAAGAAGAAATAAGATAATTACAACATAACCAAAACCATCTAATTAAATTGGTAATTATTTTTATAACTGTAATAAATTTCTAAAAGTCCCTGACTTGATTAAAAAGCCACCGCTTTCAAACTATTTAAATAAACTCTCAGTAAAGTCTTAAACGTGACCCAAAGGTCAAGATGCAGAACCAGAGTTGAAGATGGGTTTGGTTCATTTTGAAGGGTAACATTGAATAATGCTAACCAGTTCATACCATTTTGAAGGTCAAGACATAGAATCAGAGTTGAATAGCTACTCCAAAACTCTGAAATTACTAAAACTATTATACACACCCAACTCTGTTACTGTTATGTAGCCCTTTCCTTTAACGACCATATAATTAGAACTTACCATATGCAGCACACACAGTTTTTCAACGCTTACCTCCAAATCTGAACCCTCTTAAATTCCCTTACCTGTACATGTTAGTGTTAACCAGTTCATCAAATTCCTAATCTCCCTTTTCCTCTTTCTCCTTAAATATGCAGCAAATTAAAGGGTTTCAGTATCTAAACTGAAGTTTTTTTTTTTTTCTTTCATTCCAATGGCTCTTGCTTCAACAAAACAGATGAATCCAATGTCCCATATCACATTCATAATCTTCTTGTTGGTGGTGGTCTTGTGCACCCCATTTAATGCAGCTGGTTTCTTTGGACTAGAAAGCCTCAAGGTTTCTCCTTCTGAATTTGTTAGCTCCGTGAGAACAGTATCTGATGTTCTGCAAGATGTTACCTCCATTCTTCATTCTCACTTCTCCAATGCCAGTGGCTTTGCAGAATCTCGTCTTTCTAATGCCATTTCTGCATGCTTAGATTTGCTAGACTTGTCATCTGATATGCTTAACTGGTCTATGTACGCTATTGAAGGTATCATTGTCTAAATTGGTTACCATTCATTGTGTTTGCTATTTCCTATGAAACCAACCTCAAGTCTCAACCACAATAACATTCCATAAAAAATGGCCGGTTATACTAATCACTACTTTATAGTTATCATATCTTATTTTCATCTCCATTATACTAAGAATAATAAAAAAATGGTAATAAAATAGAAAATATAATAAAAAGGTAGTAAGCATAAGCTGCTTAGTTTCTAAATACTAAACACAACGATAAAACAGTGATATAAAAGTGGTGTGGTTTGGGGCTTTCTCCTCTTTACAAATTGAAAACAGGGGATTTCTACCCATATTTGTTACTTTGTCACTTATCAGTTATCACTATGACAAAAAAAAATGAGGGTATTATTTCTTGCAGGGAAGCATAACAGTACTGGGAACCTGAATTCTGATTTGAGGACATGGCTAAGTGCTGCATTGGCGAATACAGATACATGCATGGATGGATTCGAAGGCATCAGTGGCAATGTGAAGGGTCTAATATCCACTGGAATTTACAAAGTGAACTCCATGGTTGAGCAACTCCTCACTCAGGTGCACCCTTTTTCAGAACACTTCACCAGCCAGAGCCATTTTCCTTCTTGGGTTGAACCAATGGATCAGAAGCTGCTTCGGTCAAATGGGGTGCATGTGGATGCTATAGTAGCTTCTGATGGGACTGGGAATTTTACCAAGGTGATGGATGCTGTGTTAGCAGCACCTGATTATAGCATGAAACGTTATGTTATACACATAAAGAGTGGTGTTTACAACGAGAACGTTGAGATCCATAAGAAGAAGTGGAACCTCGTGGTAATTGGAGAGGGTATGGATGCTACTATTATCTCCGGTAACTTGAGTAACGGTACAAATGTTACCACATTCAAAACAGCTACCTTTGGTAAGAATTTCTCATTTTTTATGGTGACAAATTGTATATAACATGTGCTACAATTTATATTTTATACTAATAATTCTTTAGGCCCAATTCTCATTTTTCAAGTTTAAATTATTATGTGAAGCTGCGAATGGAAGAGGGTTCATAGCACGAGACATTTCATTCAGGAACACGGCAGGGCCTAAAATGAAGCAAGCAGTAGCACTAAGATCAGACTCCGACCTCTCTGTATTCTACCGATGTGGTATTTTTGGTTACCAGGATAGTCTTTATGCACACGCCTTGCGCCAATTCTATAGAGAATGCAAAATCACTGGCACTGTTGATTTCATCTTTGGTCATGCCACTGCTGTGTTCCAAAACTGCCAAATATTGGTCAAGAAAGGCTTAAAAGATCAAAAGAACACCATCACAGCTCAAGGGAAAAAGTACCCAACACAATCATCTGGTTTCTCAATCCAATTCTGCAACATTTCAGCAGATTCTGACCTTGTACCCTTTGTTAATTCCACACAAACATACCTTGGCAGACCATGGAAACCATATTCTATAACAATTTTCATGCAATCCTACTTAAGTGATGTGTTAAGACCTGAAGGGTGGCTAGAGTGGAATGGTTCCTCACATTTGGACACATTATATTATGCTGAGTACAACAATTATGGACCAGGAGCTGGGCTAGATAAACGAGTGAAATGGCCAGGGTACCATGTGATTAATGATTCTACCCAAGCTAGTAACTTCACTGTGGCACAATTGATTGTGGGTGATCTTTGGTTGCCTTCAACTGGTGTAACGTTCACTCCTGGATTTGGGGATTAGAACACTGGAACACTGCCATATCTTGCCTTGCTTGTACCTACTTCATCAACTGGTTATTATTTAGATCAATGGAGAAATTATTAATTATAAAATAATTGCATTGATGATAGTTTGGTGTTCGCTTTAATTAATTAGCACTCCATTATTTAATAATTCCCTATATTTGATCTGGGAGTTGCATGCTTCTCATTTTGGATTTTTTTTTTTTGGTAACATATCATTTTGGATATTTATTAGTGCGATACCGCACTGCAAAGGGTCACTTGAACCTAGTTTAAGTGTTTATCCTTTTGTAAATGACACAACTTATATTATTTTACTTTCACAAAAAGGTGGGACCAACACTTTTTTTTTTCAACTCTCTCTCTCCACCTTTATCTATCTCCTTCTCTCTCTTAAAATGACACAATTTTACATTCTTTAAAATGACACACACTTTATCCTTGTTTTTATGTGACATGAGATAAATTTTCTCATGTAACACATAAAAAAATTAGTAAAATTCACTTTTTTTTTTCTTTCTAAAATAAGTATATCTCTCACGTTTTTTTGTATATTATATGAGATAAATTATCTTATATAACATAAAAAATATATTCCCATAAACGAATATGTCATATGGCTCAGTTTGAAAAATGTGGTAAGTGAGATGTATTCTTTTGAAGAGAAGTAACTTTATTTAGGATCCGTTTGGATGAGCTTTTAAAAAAAAGAATTTTTAAGAGTTGTTTTTCTAAAAGAATTTTTTGTAAAAGTCAAAATTATGTTGCGTTTGGATGCAATATTTGAAAAGTGCTTTTAAGAGAAAAAGTTATTTGCAACCTACCAAAAAAAAAAAAGTTATTTGTGTAACGCCCCGTTCTAGAACCGGTTTGTTAACATTGCATTATGATATTAAGCGCAGTTACAATCACATGGGTTCAATTAAAATTCGGTTAAAATTTTCTTTTTTTAAAACATGCCGAATTTATAATGCCCAATTGCGTGATCATAACCATATTACATTGTGGAATAAAATAAATTAAGCTTAACATCATATCATTATTTTGTTCGAGTTCAATACTAAACTCTCTTCACATTTTATTAAATTGGAATTTCTGTACTTACTTTATAGTTCTCATCTCATACTATGTTATAGAACTCACAAATAGCTTCGCGTGGATTCAAACCGCGCTCAAATCAGAGATCTGAAGCTCAAGTTATGACTATTTTAGTAAACTAGGTTGGTGCTGTCTCGGGATGCGCGCCCGAGCGCTCAAATGGGTGCTCGAGCGCCCACAGAGAAGAATTTTGGTCACCATCAGGTCATTTAGAGAACTTGGGTGGGTGTCTGCGCGCTTGAGCGCCCGAAGCCAGTGCTTGAGCGCCCAAATAAGCGCTTGAGAGCCCAGAGGCAGTGGCTTTCACTCATTTTCCCGTATCAAGCGCGCTTGAGCGTCGAGAGGCAGTGGCTTTCCCTCATTTTTATGTATCTAGCGCGCTTGAGCGCCCAAACCAGCGCTTGAGCGCCGAGAGGCAGTGGCTTTCCCTCATTTTTACGTAACTAGCGCGCTTAAGCGCCCAAACCAGCGCTTGAGCGCCCTCCACCTGGGGCAGACTTGGTCGCCCCTATTTTTGGGTGAGTTCCTTGGGGAAACTCCATTCCCCATTCATTCTTCAAGGGTTATTACACCTAATTGACATCATAGAATCCTTTCAATAGATGGTTCTTTTTTCTTTCAAGATACATACACTTCAAAAGAAACATGCATATCCTTTCATCATGTACATATATCCAACATGTCTTAATTACAGAATAACGGGACTTAGTTATAAAACACTATGATCAAATCCTTGGTTCCCAACAACAAAAGAGAGACCACAAGAAATGAGCATAGGCTAAGTCCATCAAATAAAGCATGGTACACATATGATGATTTTCTTTCAAATATAACTCCTATACATGATATTTCTACATGTCATATATATAATCCCAAAAATTGCAACATGTTCATGCATCACTAATCCAAATACGGCCACTTGCCACTGCTGGCTCCTGCAGCATCCTTTCCTGAAAGGGGGTCCCCACAACACGGGGTGAGATATACGAATATATCCAGTAAACCAGAGGTCCTTGGAGCATCTCTCCACCCCACAATTCAACATCAGTGTAATAGCAATAACAATAATAATGCAGTAAATACATATCTATGCAAAGTGAAAATAACATCTCCAGTAGAAATTCCTCGAGCCCTCAAGCTATCCTAAGGATACTCAGATGCAAATAGTCCTACTGGCCAGCTAAACTACCAAGTATGAATTACGCATCGTCATGCAACATACCAACATAGGGAAACACCATCCTATGCCACACCAAATGCATACACATACGTATAACAAAACATTAAACTATTTCATTGCGTTTATATACACTATCAACAACCACTACCCATTCAGAGCTTGGTGGAACAATAGAGGGATTTACACCCAAGGTCCGAAGGCTTACCTCATAGCTTCAGTTCAACCTTTGTTCACCACCAACAGGTTCTACAACTAGTCAACTTTGTATTCAAGCTATAACTTGCAAAGTACACACCTACACCAAGGTGTAATGCAATCAACATATTGCATTCAAGAATATCATATATTCATCAACCAAGGCATGAACTTACCTATTCCAAAGAGCTAATCAAGCTCCATTGCTTGCTCCAACGGTTGGTCAATTAAGGTTGGTCCAATTGCCTCAATCCTAGACAACACAAGGATACAATCAATAACCAACCAAGCAATGGATCAACAATGCAAGAATTTCCACAATTCCAAGCATGTCGTTTTTGCACTTTTCAAAGTATTAATCAATGACTATCTAATCTCATTTTCATCGATTAAATGCCATTACTAACATTTTTCATAACATACACTAAGCTCCATTCTTCCTAGAACATAGCTAATTTACTCACACTATCACAACCCCAAAACACTATTCAACCAAACCCTAACTCATGCCAAACTTAAGAACTTTGTGTGAAAGAGAGTGGAAGCTTACCATCAATGACATACAACAATGCAATGAGCGTTCCTCAAGCTTCCAAAGAGCCAAATGCTCTCCAAACCCCCTTCAACATTCAAAGGGGCGGATTTTTTAGAGAAGAAATCTCACAACACAAAGCTCCCCACTAAGAACCAAGCTAGGATTATGAATGAGAGCGAGATTCTAAGTGGTTTAGGCTTTTGAATCAAGGAAAACGGTTGAGAATCACTCACCCTAGGTTTCTCCTCCCTCTTCTCTTCCCTTTCTCTTCTTCTTCTTCTTCTCTTCTTTCTTCTCTTTCTGGTCGACGGGTTTGTGGAGGGACAAAAGATCTTTTTCTTTTGTTTTTTAAGTCACTTACATTTGTTAAGTGACTTTAGGTGGGTATCAGCTCATCTATCTATTTAACTCCATTAATTACCAAACTTTACCCAAAAGTCTGAAATATTATTCTAGGAATATTTCCACTTTTATTTTTATATTTTGGGTACTTTTGCCAACACCAATTTATACCCCTTAATTTTCACAGAGTACACTTTTTACCTCCAAAGTGACTCCAATTCATTTAATTAAGTCTTATACTTAATTTTACTCACTATTACATGATTATTTATTCAATCACATTTAATTTACTAATTAATTATGTTAGGGCTATTATAGTCACCCCACCTTTTAGCGATTTTGTCCGCAAAATCAAGAACATACATGTCCTTAAACTCAGGATACTGCCGAAGAAGCTCATCTTTCCGCTCCCAAGTGGACTCTTCAGGCGTCCTTCCTTCCCATTGGACCTTCACCATAGGAATGGATTTATTCCCCAGCCTCTTCTCATCTCTTTCAAGTGTTTTCAGTAGCCCAACAGGAGTTTTCAAATTCTCCCGAATCTCCACATCATCTGGTTGAACCACATGAGAAGGATCCGCCACATATCTTCTCAGCTGAGAAACATGGAATACATCATGCAAATTTGATAATTGAGGAGGTAAGGCAAGCTGGTAGGCAACCGGTCCCACCCTACGAAGAATCTAGTAGGGTCGAATAAATCTCGGACTCAGCTTCCTCACTCCTAGGGCTCGTCCAACACCCGTAACCGGTGATAACTTTAAGAATACATGATCTTCCTCTTCAAACTCCAGAGGCCGATGTTTGAGATCATAATAACTTTTCTGACGATCCTGAGCCTTTTTCAGACGATCCCTAATCATTTTAATCTGCTCAGTAGTCTCCTGAACAAAATCCAATCCAAACCGCTCTGTGTCTCCCACCTCTACCCAACAAGTAGGTGTCCTAGACCTGCGACCATACAAGGCCTCGCAGGGAACAATACCCAGACTAGCATGAAAACTATTATTATAAGAGAACTCAACCAACGGGAGATATCGATCCCATGCAGTACCCTGCTCCAGGGTGCAAGCCCTCAGCATATCCTCCAACGTCTAAATGGTCCTCTTAGTCTGACCATCCGTCTGTGGGTGATAAGCAGTGCTCAGTCTCAACTGAGTTCCAAGAGCCTCCTGCAATGCTCCCCATAAGCGAGAAGTGAACTTCGGGTCCCGATCACTAACAATGCTCTCAGGCACCCCATGAAGCCTCACAATCTTCTTCACATAGAGCCTAGCTAATCTCTCAGCAGAGAAGTCTACCCGTACTGACAAAAAGTGTGCGGATTTTGTCAATCTATCCACAATCACCCACATAGAATCATAACTAGCCTGTGTTCGCGGCAAATCCACTACGAAATCCATGGAGATACTCTCCTATTTTCATTCAGTAACATCCAAAGGTTGCAACATACCAGAAGGCTTTTGATGCTCAATCTTGACCTTCTGACAAATGAGACACTTAGAGACAAATTCAGCAATGTCTTTCTTCATACCAGGCCACCAGAAATTAATCTTTAGATCCTGATACATCTTTGTAGCTCCCGGATGAACTGTGAATTGACCCTTATGGGCCTCTGTCATTACTTCCTCCACCAACTGCCTAGGTA